AAAATATAGTTCCCCCCCCCCCTTTTGTATACCTGTTTGATGATCCCTTTGCAGCATTGATAAGCTCATCAGCCAGACATTCTGCGATTGTCTTGATATTCCTAAATGCAGACTCACGAGCACCTGTAGTAAGGAGATAGATAGCCTGATTCACACGACGCAGGGGAGAAATATCCACTGCCTGACGTCTGACAACACCAGCAGACCCAATTCGTGTAGCATCTTCCCTTGGTCCACTGGTGTGAAAGAAAAGTTAGAGCATGGAATTAGATGTAAGCCAAAGAAGTAAAAGGGGGTGGTCAATTCAATTGTACATCTGTTTCCTATTTTTATACCTGTTGATCACAGCATCAACAATAACTTGGATTGGATTTTGATCAGTAAGCAAGTGGATAATTTCCATGGCGTGCTTTATGATCCTCACTGCCATCAGCTTTTTCCCATTGTTTCGTCCGTGCATCATAAGAGAGTTGGTGAGCCTCTCCACAATAGGGCATTGTGCTTTCCTGAAACGCTTGACCGAATATCGCCCTGCAGTGTGAGGCACGTAGGTTGCATGCTTGGCAGGAGCCACACCAATGTAATCTGCCAGGGATATGTCATTCACCTAAAATGGTAATGCCTAAATAATTAGTAACCTTCAGAAGCATTGATGAATAATAGAAACAACAGATACTGTCATGGCCAGGACAAAACCACACTCGCTCATGACATCAAGAAATAAATCATTATAGATCCAAACCCAACAACTACTTCTCAAGCACAAAATATTGAAAGGCATAGCACGTGAAGTAAGCAAATCGTACAAGTCATCATTTTGTAATGTGAGGATACAAGAACCCGAGAGGTGGTGATAGGAACCAGGGGCTTTTACTAGTTTATTTTTCACTGAATTACTATGTTTTATGTTTTATTATGTGTCTTGTATTAACTGTTACAAGTGTCCAGCGTTGGTTACGTCATTGTTAGTTTTATATGGATAGGATAAGGTTATTTTCAGTTTATATACCATCCTATAAATATCATACATGTATTCTGCCAAAAGGGGAGATGAATGAAAAGCATTATTCAGTTTGACTTAAACTTCCTCTTCTCCTAGAATTTCAGATTCTGGATCTAGGCTCTCCCTCTCTCTCCTCCCTTCTCTTTCTCTTCTCTTCTCTTCCCCTTTCTTTCTGTCCTAGCTCTCAAGATCTAACAGGTGGGCTACCGGACGACAGAGCACATGGATCATTTGCCAAAGTTGAGCTTGTAAATATCCAGAAACATAATCTCTTGGTAAAAGACACCAAAATAATAAAAAAAATAAAAAAAATTAAGAAGCTGAATATGCAACTAAATGTTCCATCATCAAATAGATGCTATTTTCCGCCACTTCATTTTTGAAAATCATCTATATCAGTTGAATATCACTAAGAAGAAAAATTTCCAATATCCCTGCGTCAAAACAGTGACGCAATCACATGCAAATAGAAGCATGTCCATGATTGGAAATCAAGATAAAATGATTGCTCAAGAAACATATACTTCACTACTTACGTCTTCTTATGCTTACAAGAAATGTCAAGTATGAGAATCACGGAAATTACAGAGAAAGAAATGAGATGTAGTAGCAATCGATCAAGTTAGATTAAATTTTTGCATTAATTCTCGCCACATTATCTGGGCTGTTATTTTGGGGGCGGGGGCTTTGTAATATGCTGCCGAAACTGGGCATAAATGCGAGAAAGAAATGTCAACAATACCTTTACAATCGTCACCAAAAGAAAAAACAATACCCTCAAAATCAGTTTTCGGAAGTTTAAATTTTAGATTGAAATATGCCCATGAATAGGGGAAATATGATTGAAAAGAGTAAAAGGGAAACCTCAACATCCTCGAAGGTCCAACGATTGAAGAGCTTGACATCGTTGACCGGTTCGATGAAGTCATGGCTTTGAGGTTGAGCTACCGCGGCCGCCATAGCAACTTACCTTATTCGCCTGCACCAGAGACCCCGACGAGCTCGTTGCCGCAGCGGAAGGGCCAACTGTCGAGAACCTTAGGAGAGATTACCAATATACAACTAAACCCTAAATTCCTATATCAACTCTTTCTTTTGGGCCTCGATAAAGCCCGTATTTCACCCATTTAAACTCTTTGGCCAACAGTACGCATCCTAAATGTATTTTCTCCAGGTTGGCAAAAAAACAAAAAAGTATTTTCTGCAGATATTTCCGATTTAAAAAATGAAAGAAAATTGGGAAATTGCAAAACAAGACGGTGAAAATTATTAAATTATAAACCAGGTATTTTTTTTTAAAAACATGTTGTTATTTGCAATTCAATTTTATTATCAAAACCTATGAAGTGTCGTAACATGTCCCAATTTGCGATTTTATAATTTTTACGTTTTTTTTGGTAATTTTTCCAAAAAAATTGAGTTATGAATTTTGATTGCATTTTCCAAACTACTTTACGTAGTTGGCCTATGAATCAGGCTCTGATTAAAAAAATTGATTTTCATGGCCTTCATTTGTATTCTTTTTTATTATTTCTCTATTTTTGTTTAATTTAATTCTATGGGATATATGTTTAATCAAATCGAGTCAAATCAATTAATAACTTAGTGATTTTTAACTTTTACTTATTTTCTTTCGTATATTTTCATTAGTAAATCACATATAATATTAGCGAAAATTTTTCTGCATACACCTTAGTTTTTCGGCCCAAAAAAAATCAAGGGTGCGAACTTGAATTAACTCGTGTACTGACAAGAGATGCTCCTAAATATATTCAGTTGATGGCTTCCCTTGATCAAGAACCAGTTTAAACCGAAAGGATCCTACTGCTTGAGCTTATTATTGTTTAAAATTAATCTATATCAAGATGACAAAATCGAATTGTTAATTACTTAATTCAGTCAAAACTAATATATTTTTGCAAAAATATATTACATGCAAAAAATCAATAAAAATATAAAATTAACATCATCAAGGCATCTACGACTCACCTCACACGATTTATTAGTTATGGTAAAATTAAAATGCGTAAAATAAAATGCCATTGACATGTTGAGCAGCAGGCGTCTCATGATTATTACACGCAAAACATGCAACACGAGCAGATTCCAGCACCGATCAAACTTGACAATATCCGTTGTGTAAATATATTTGAGCAACCGCCGGCCACCGCTAACTCTCATGACCTCTGGCCATCAGTGATCCCAATGTCTTCTCCTGTTCATCGAACTCCGACGACGAATCTATAACGAGTCTTTCCACCGGAACTTTGACGGCATCATGGCGAACTCCGATATCAGAAGCTAATCTGCCTGCACAATACATGCCACAACCAACCAAAGCCAAGCCACCAAAACCAGCCGTCAAGAACCGAAGCGGCGAAGAAACCACTGCACTAGCCGCCGCCATATACGATGCCGCTTGCCCGCTGCGGCCAACGCCGATGCCCGTGAACACAAGCAATCCTGTCTTACAGTAAATGGCAAAGTCCTCACAATTATTCTTGAATATATTATAATTGCCGAAGCCATTCTCGAGGAGGAACAAGGCACGGTGAAGCACCTGCTCCGGAGCATCGGACTGAGCCAGAGTGCATGTGCCTCCTCGCGCTTTGGCGAGAAAAAACGCCGGGGAAACACCGTATTCGAAGAGGTATAGATCTCCGCCGGCGAGAAAGCAGGTCAGGCAGGATGAGATGACCCCATGAGATCTGCTCTGGCCGCCGCATCTCGGGCATGCAGTGCCTGCATTGGAATTAGGGGGCATTGACATGAGGACGAGACGATCGAGAACAGTTCCGGTGCCGATTTCTTGGCCGGCTCCTCTGGTGAAGTGGATCACCATTCCGTCGCCGATGTAGATTCCTGGTGTCTTAGAGGAAAGGAAAGCATTGTATGGCAATTTCAGTACCGCATACGATGAACAGAGTAAAATTTTACAAAAGCATAAATCTCACAGGATAATCAATAATCAGGTTAGAATTCTTTTAACGATTTATTTTCCCGTTCTTCAATTCTCTTTAGCCTATCTTCATATGCTGAGAACTTAAATGTTGCCAATGATTACAGAAATGGCATATATAGAGAGAGAGAGAGAGAAGGAAAAGAATTGAAGGAAAGTGGGGAAGGGGATGACCGTGATGTGCGTAGATGTAAGCCTGCCTCCAGGAGTAAATGTGATCGCCGGGCTTCAGTTCTTGCCAGTGGATCTTGTTCGAGAGCACTCCCATTTCTGGTTAGTATGAATGGTCTTCGATTTTCCCCTGGAAGAATAGAAATGGTTCAAAAACCAAAGAGGAAGCTAATTAGGAAGCCCAATTACTTGCAGGGGAATCTTGGAACCCGCGAGAGGTGAAAAGACGGGACAGGAACACGCAACGTAGCCTCTTCCTTCGTCTCCACGGATTTGCCCCGGCAACAAGCGCCATGCAAGCAATAGAGAGAATCTCCCAGCTTAGATTAATTCCCTTCATTTGCCTGAAGGAAGTTTAATATTGATCAACTGTTGCTCTTCGTGACCATATTATATCAAATTATTTAAAATTAACCAAATCCGTTTAATTTGTTGTTCTTTTTTTAAAAAAATTATGCTTCTGGTTATAATTTAGAAATTTTATTGTTAGCGACTTTAAATTTTTAAAATTATTCCAGAGGTGCAAGCGATTAAAAATTGTAAATACGAAAATGTAATATATTTCCTTTTGTTTCCCTGCCTTCGGTAATATATTTCAGATCTTATAAATCAAACCCTTTACTATTGATCCATTTTTTCCGCTCTTCTTGGCGACCATCCGAGTAATAACTTTTCACAATCAAGATTAAAAATTTTTTACATTTTGAACATTTAAAATAATTATAATTTCTAAGAACTTTCACCATAGACTGGTTCAAACTTACTCTTACGTACTATAGCCTGCCTTAGAATTTATCCTTCAAATTAATAGTACATCTTTCGTAGTTCATTATAAATTTCAGCTAAATATCATAATAAAATGAGCCATAGAATAAAATTCATATAAATTAAATATGAATAAATAAATTTATCGTCAGCACTCTTTCCATTGGTTCATTTTGACTTGATTTGAAAAAGAAAATTGTTACATTACAATCATGCCAGTTGCTAGAGGATGCCAGGTAGATTCAAGGTTTAGCTCACCAATACTTCAATTGTCATGTCAATAATCAAGGGCACTCTCGCATTTCATTTCACAAGATGAATATGTCAAAAGATTTGACGTCATTGTACAGCATTGCACCATCACTTGCTCCTAATTTGGACAAGACCAAGCAGAAATACTCAGCCCCAAAGCCGATGGAATGCACCGGGGAATTACACCAAAACCTGACCATCACTCAAAATTCAAGAGCCAGTTGCCTCAACTTCTCACCGTATTCCCCATGTACGCTATGATCTTAGTCAGTAATATCAAAACAAAGCTTCGCCTCATCCCAAGGCCCATTGATCTCAAACTTGTATTCCTGAAGCCTTATAAGCCAGTAAGGGCAGACCACGTTGACAAACACTAACACACTAAGCAGCAACACAAAAAGCAACCGATCCAGCATGTACACAAAACTCAAGGTCAGAGCAATCAACATTATGGAAACACACAAGTGCAAGCGGAAGGAATACTTTTTAATACAGTATGTAACCAGGGGAGCAAAAAGGAAGACTAGCAATGAGAAAAGCATGATGGCAAACACGTGTAGTCTTGATGGAAGACGGGATGCGATAAAAACTGAGGCTACTACAGAAGCATTTACAGAGATACAACTGGATAACGCCGGATTCTTTGTAGCAACAGGGGTTTTTACTGTGGATCCTGAATAATCATGCAGAAATAAGTGAAGCAGTAGTAGTGACACAGTTACTGCCCAGATAGAATCTGAACTAATGGATCTTGTTAGAGTCTGGTATATAGGAGCCAAAACATATAATCCAGTTATAAAGAAGGAAATATTGAGACAGTAATGGATGAGAAGATTGAAGGAAAGCATTTCTTGAGTAAATATGAGGATGAGAAATCCTGAAACAAGGAGACTTGCATCAAGAAAGAGCAGGGAATTTTCATCCAGAGTTGATGTTAGTGTGTAAGTCCAGACCAATACAACGAGAGCAACAACGCATAGATATTCAGAAATGGAAACTGAGTCTAGCATCACCTTTACCATGTCCCTCTTTACGACACTGGCATTCGTGACCATGCCTTCAAGAAATGATTCATCAGTATAGTTGTCACCATAACCAGGTTGCATACCACCATATGCCACTTTTCTCCATCTGGGACGAGGTGGAGAAGAGTTGTCACGACTTCTAAGATCCATGCAAATTGGTTTATGTTATTTCAGGTGACTCCCGATGATTACATATAGCACATAGCAAGATCTAGTTGCACTTCATAACCCCCGCCAAAAAAAGAGAATTGCTCCATATATTTGGTTCATTTGGTTCAAGCAATCGGTGACAAGTGATCTTTATACATCGGTCTCAATCTCTTTGGCTTTCCAAGCATCATATCTCAAGATGGAACTTCTGTTGAAGGAACTTGATCAAGAACGAATCATCAGAAGGAGGGAGTCTAATGGCAATAGAAAAATCAACCACGAAACTCATCCCGCAGAGGTCAATTACATGAATCACATGATATGCTCTCTGAAAATCCAACTCTTTACACATATTATGGCAACTAAAGATAATTCAAACTAACAAAAATATATTAAAAAAGAAAAAGGTGATTATATGCTAGGAAATAGGAAAATTTTAGGCTACTGTTGATATCCGTTGAGGCTACGAGAACCAGTACAAATATGAGGAATGGCACAAGCACAGGCGGACCTATATTAGATCCGGTGGGAGTATCAATCTTTGAAATGTGCATGGCTGATATCAGCTCATATTTCCTCCATTTTTTTGTTTGAAACAATGAAAAATTCAGACATTCCACCCACTCTCCTCCCAAATTTCCTCCATTTTTTTGTTTGAAACAATGTTCCTCCATTCCTTATTTGTTTCTCAGAATCCCCTTAAGATGGTTTTAAGAAAAAGAATCAGCTTAGTTGAGAGAAACGAAGAGACAATGGCCAGGATTATGTACTTACCTCCAAATCTGTGATGACAATGTCCGACAGAGCAAGAGAACAGCGCAAAGAGCCGACGCAGCTAGACGGCAACGATGAGACCCGAAGGAGCAAGACGGCGCCGAGCTGATCCCCAGACCTGCAACGAAGATGGCCAACGAACATAGAGAGCGCCGATGACAGCCGACGGGGCAAAAGAGGGCAGGCGGCGCACTGAGTCGGGAAGGGACGCTGAAGAGTGATATCTCATCAATGCGCTAAGCCGCTAAATGAGATGAAAAGAAGAAATAAGTGAATGGCTCAGATTAAAACACGATGGACGGCGAAGATCTCATTTTTTAGAACAATATGTATAAACTTTAAATAAAATAAAATAAATTGAGATATTATATTTAATATTACCTCTTATTTTAATTATAAAAGCTAGTTTGATTTTTAGTTTTATCCTAAATACAAGAATTTAATATACTTTATCTCTCATATTTATCTATTTTTTTCAAACTACCACACTTGTATTCCATTGATTATAATTAAACACTGGAGTACCATAATAATTATATATGAAGAAATTATATTTTCTCTCTCCACTTCTCATTTCAACTATAAAATTTGATTGGGTTAGTTTAATATTTTATAAATGTATTAATAAATTTTTTAATTATTAAAATAAATATATAAATAACTCAAATTGTTAAATTTTAACCGTCCCTGTTTAAATAGCAATGAAAAATATTTAAAAGATTAATTTATTAAAATAAACACGTCTATTAGTTTTTATGTTTAGAACTAGAAGGAGCACGTCTAAATTTTTTAGATTGCACCAAATATAGCTTCTACAAATTGATCCTTTTTTTTAAGTACATTTTTATTTCTTTAATTTTATATAAGATTTTACTTTGGTCCTTAATTTTAAAAGTATGATTTTAGTCCTTTAAACCTAAAATTACCAACAAAAAATGATGACCTTAAAAATCTTGAATCTTGATAAAATATTCTTAAATACTAATATATTAAGTTTAATTTTTAAAATAACAATAATTATTATTAAAAAATTGCTATTTAAAACTAACATTTTTAAGATTAAATTACTAAAAATATACTTTTAAAATTAGAAACCAAATTGAAATTTGTATAAAATTTAAAAATATATATATATATATATATATATATATCAAACTAACTCATTCTCCACTTCCCATTCCTTCAAAATCTTTTGAATAAATGACACCATGCCTAAGCATTTTGCCACGGAGTTGACGAGGGAGACGAAGAAAGACACGTAAAATAGAGCAGATCCTTAAATATAATCTCATGGTTTAGTATATTATTCTTTCTGTCACAATGTTAAATCTATATTCTATGCTATGTACACATGACATTTTTTTTTTGGTGAAAACATGACAGAGAAAATATACATTAAATTAGAGTTCCATTTTTAAATCTCCTTTGAATATTTATATTAAAAGATTTTAAGGAGCCAACACTTATAAGATCCAGGGAAAAATACACGCTTTTGTTGGATTAAAAAAGTTTGTAGTACTTGTTTGCTTTTTGTAACCAAAAAAAAAAAAAGGGACAAGAAACATTAAACGAGACCAGATGGATAATGCTGATGTGTGGGCAACGCTCGCCAGCGGATGTCGTGTCAAATCCAATCGCCTTGTAACTTGCCACGCTGGATTCATGGATTGGACGGAGAAGGAAAGACGTTAAATTGCTGGCATTGACTTCGCCATTGACCTCACAGACTCTGCTTTCTTCTCCATTATCCCTTCGTATCTTTTTGTCCTTCGTCGGTCATGGCTTTCTCAGCGACAGCTTCGCGTCTCATCCCCATCCTCCTCGGTTTTCTCGCCCTATCCATCTCCGCCACGGCTAGACCTTGCAGAACCACCTTTGTCTCCTCCTACTCTGTCTCATTTAGGCTCCATTCCTCCGCCGCAACCCTCACCACCTTCAAAGAGATCAGATCCCTCGTCCCCCTGGACGTCGTCGGAAATAACGACAATAACTATGATAATCCCTCTCTTGCGGCTGAGATCTTCTTCGATGGCGCCCTCTGGGGCCGCCGCTTCGAGGAGGACGAAAATGAGACTGAAATTGAGCCATGGCGGTCACATATGAGAGCCCCCTTCGGATTTTCGTCCCATAATTCCAGCTCGTTCCGTGATCGCACTAAGGACATTGTGAGCGTTGTTCTGGCGCTACTCTTCGGCGTCGCAGGTGGGGCTCTCACTGCGATAGGTTTGTACTTAATATGGTCTGTGTTATCTGACCGCTATTATTATCGCGATTCTTACGATAATTATGTCGATGATGACGAAGAAATCGATAGCCCTAAGAAAACGGGGTACGTGAAGATTCCGGCCTTTGAATCTGCGCCTGCACCAGCCAAGGAATCGGTATGAATTGAGGATAATAGACATTTGCATCTGGTGATTGTAGTTTTTGAACCTAATTGTGAGAGTATGATCTCAATAATATTAGTTAACTAGAAGATGGGCAAACTTTTCGCCTGAATTGGTGTTTTTAATTGCATGTTTATTCGTTTTTGCTCATGAGACATGATCACTACTCTGGAATCTTGTCAGTCAGTTGTATTTTCGGCTACCAGTTCCTTGCTAACCTGAGCGTTGATGATATTATCTGCTCACTATGATATTCTGGGACTACGGTTATTCATTCGTCGTCATATCTCTATTTTTTTGCTTCGTCGATTTCCCATGGCGCTATTCCCAGCTAATCATAGCGGCGCTTATATACTTGCGATTATTTAGTATCTGCTCCTAATATGATCCTAGAGATTTGCATTCCTTCATCTTTATGCCCACTTCTGTTTTTCTTTTTTTTATCTTTTTTCTTTTTATTATTAAACTTGTGGTTAAGATTTGCTTGTGAATTTGTTTAGGTTGTTCCCAGAGCTGAGGGAAAAAATTGTCTATTTTAGGAAAGTCCTTAGTTGCAGTCATTTGCAGCGTTTTCTCTCGCTTGGGTTAGTATTTCATATTTCTAAAGAAGAAGGTCGGGGGGCCAGTAAAGCCGCAGCCCCTCGTGAGTTGTCTACCTTCAGCTATCTATTCTATTTTACACCATCTTATGGACGGTAGTACTTCTTAGAATATCTATGCAGGGGGGAGAAGATTAGACTCTCGCGTTTACTGGTCTTCCAGGGATTCCAAATGTAATTTTAAGTTAACAGTTCCTGAATAAAGTCACTTGAGTAGACTTGCTCTTGCACATATTACCTTGAGGCTTAACATTGGGCACCTCATGAGCGCCTCAGCAGCAAAAATTGAAACTTCGATTTACATGAAAAACTAGCATTCGGCTTTGCTAATGGGGGTGATTATGGACTGAATGTGGACAGGATATTATCGCTGACACTTGACCCCTGTGCTTCATAATTGCCCCGTGCATGTGCTTTGTTGGGCTCAACCGCTCAGGCAATCAGTGTTCAATAACCAGTGATCTAACATGCCCGATCTCAAAAATATTGCAGCAAATATTGGCACAAAAATATGCACGCACGAAAAACGCACAACGTACGGCCCCCCTGCAAATTGCAGACGTTGAAGCCTCCAGAAAACTATTGACAAAAATTCACACCAACAGTCTAACGGAAAGAATGAATTCCCCCTTACGAACCAAAATTCAAATCTTTGAAAAAGATGCCCAGTGCTTCAAACAAGATGCATAACCAAAAACAAAAAAGTGGAGGGTTATGGACCTCGTGCAAAACACACACCACATTGACTCAGATCCGAAATAGGGCATAACTTTGGCCAAAAAACAGAGAAAGAAAAAGGGCATAACCATATACTACTATGGTTAAGGCATGTTGAGACCCTTCCAGATACCGTCAAACGAAGGGGGAAACAAAAATGGCAGTTTCAAGTTTCAACGACAGAGTATAAACCAAGAGATCGCATCATAATACGAAGAGAGGCTTATCTAGCTTTTGTCTACTGTACATGAGTTCATGCAAGAGCAAGACGTTAAATCAAATGCTACAATAAGCAACAACACTATCTAGTTTGCTGTGCACATGTTCAAGGCACAAAAAGTCCGTCCTAACTTTCTTCACCACAGTGCTTTTTTCATCATCAAATCCTCAAAGGATGAATGAAGACGTAGAATATGGAACATAACGTGCAGAATAATTCTAAACATACAAGGTCGATAAGTAGTGTTCAAACAGTTGTGGTAAAATCTAAGATTACTCACGGCCCCACTGGAACCTGAAGCAAATACATCCTTATACATATGAATCAGTATTCAAGCGAGCCCATTGATGGAAAGCCAGAAAGGTCCTGAGATTCTGCGGTGCTGCCGTTCATCCTTCGTCCCACATTTGGACCAAGCGATTCCACCGATTGCTCACCCATCTTCATAATATCCTCAGGTGAGAGTATCTTGATGTACCAAACATTATTGACGAAAGATCTGCCCCCGTCATGCAGGAAATCCCCGCCAAAACATAGTCACAGATCAAGAATGGAATAATAGATTATGAGATAAGAGAAATAAAGCTGTAAACTTATGTGAATATCATCATTTATAGTGAAGAATGTGTAATTTAAACATCCTTCAGGAAATATGAGAATAATTTAACCCTGAATTCTAATATGATGTGAATATACTTACTCCCATGGGTCGTCTCCAAGGAGAAGAATATCATTCTCCCTGTCGACAAATACAAGCTGCCAGCCTGATCTAAGAGGGTCTTCTAACTTCCCCTCAATTCCAAACATTTGAGCCAACTCCTCTCTCAGCTCATGATAGCTGCTGAACCGAGAGATATCAAGGGAGCGCCCAACCGAACCTGACTTGTAGACCTGTGGAGGCAGAATACAACAAAAAAGTAGTAGTAAAAGGACACAAATCTGAATCAAACAACATTTCATGTTATGAATCGAACCTTGACAAATGTCTGAGTTGGGTTTTGTGGGTCAACTGGCCCTGAACTCTGAATCAACTCTGCAGAGTCTTGCACACAATTATACAGAGGACCCTGGAATCCAGAGTCCCCTAATGGCATGGTTGATGCATCAGTACCAACCGAGGAAGCTGAATAGCCAGGGACAGTGGTGGGGAGTAGAAGTCCAGACGAATCAATATTAACACCAAAGAGGATAGGATTTTGTGCATCTGAAGCACAATGCGATGGCACCGTTGCAGAATCTTTCTCAGTATACCGTGAGTGTGACATTGAGCTGCCAAAGGCAGCACTCACCT